ATGTTTATCACAGTCCCTTGTGGAGAGATTGACAGACTGCTGTCTCAGCATATGCACTAGCACACACGCATTAAAAGCATACATTAGCCATCCGAAGTGCTGTTGTTTGAAAATTTATTTCAGTGATTCAGTAATATGAATTCCTCAGTAGTTTTGTTATTATAATCTGAATATTTATTGTTATACATTTTATTATCAGTATTACAGGAGTGAATCCAATTTTCAGAATAAATCTGCTCAGCACTGCAAGCGTATGAGAATTGTTTAGCACAAATTTCTTGCATACTGCTAATTGAAACATATTTTCTATCTCTGAGAAATTATTGTGAATGCTAAACAATTCTTATTTTAATTTTATCTCATGCAGTTAACGACTACGTAGGTTGTGATAAGGATTTCTCATTTCACCTGTTCTCTCCCAAAGTTTTTTTCTTTACATGTCAGACATGCTTGCCTACTTGCCTGGTAGTCTTGTGTTTAGATAACTAGGAGTGCTGTTTTAAAATATTTACTCAATCTTCTGCATCAGCTCAGCATAAATTAGGTACCAGAAAATGTTTTTAGAAGTAAAGGTGGCCACTGAGTGATGTTAAGTCTATACAGATCTGAGGCTGACATCATTTACCATATACAGTCAACTGCAATATCTGGTCTAATCTTGGAGAAGGGTAGCTGGGTATGCTGGAGTTCTATCAATATTCAGTGTTTACTTCACATATATAAGGAAAATCATCCTTTTTATACCAAAACTTGCTCCTATCATATTTTCGGACCTCTAAGTACAGACCAGTACTTTATAAGTGTTTCTTATGTACTGTACTGTACTGTGCTATACTGTACTGTACATTTTAAATATTTATTACAGAAAACGGAATTCTAAAAATAAAAATGTTGTTCACATTTTAAGATAAAATTTATATTGTTTAACTAACTGGGAAGGCTAACCTGGTCAATAAATGCCCGCAAAAGTCGGATATGTTGGCCGAAAGTTGCAAATATCGCAGCAATGCTGTAAACAGACACAACGCAATTACATCTTCGGATGAACACAGAAGAAGATATTGTTTAACTTATCTGCAGAAAAACTAAAATCATCGACACTATACAATATGAACACACACATATTTAAAATGAGAAAAAAATTAATTTAAAATGTTGACTTAACAAAAACAATTTAAACTCTTTTTCTTTCTATTGTTAATTGATAAGTAATTATAAAAATGGGAAAATGTTGACCTGAGATTAATGAGTCAAATCTCACAGTGTTTACTTCTTGAAAAAGTCCTTGATAGATGAGTCGGCTCTGTGGCTAAGTGGATGCGAATGCTTCGTAATGCCAGGGTGCCGGGTTCGATCCCAGCTGCGTTGATTTCGACAGTGGTATCAGGGGGCTGACCATCCAGAAGCAATGGCAAACTACTGGACGTAAATTTGCCTGGAGAAACCACACAACAGCCAGGGGCTGTTGGGATTGGTTCTGCAACGTCCTGTAAAGGATACTCAGCTAACCTAACTTTGATAGATGACCGCTTCATGCCAGTTGCTCTCTTCCTCTGCACAATCTCTTGCCACTTATGCAAGCAGAATATGTCAGCTGGCGTGGCTTCTTCCTGCTGACTAATGTACTGCAGCAGTGCTGTCTCAAACGACTTGAACTCTTCCATAGACAGGCAGGATGAGATTTTTCCAGTTATCTAAGGATGTCTCCTATTCCACCTCATCCTCTTCTACCTCTTCATTTTGTCACCATTTTCACAATGTTATTGTTAGTCATTTCATCAAGTTTGTCATTTGCCATCTATTCTTTAATGTCATCTGCATTGATAGTGTCACAGCCTGGGTTTTTTTTTTCCAGCAGCAAAGCAAGTTTATCGTTTTCATCTTCAACTTAGGTTTCAGACATGGGTTCTAGTTTGAAATGTCTTCTTCCATGGTTAAACAAGTGATATTTTTGGAATCTCTCCGCATGCTTCAGCCACCCACCTTATGATATCTAGCATGTCAATCTTTTTCAGGGTGGTTACATAGTCTTCATTTTTATCAGTTGCTGATATAAGCGAACTCAGAAGATGCTGCCTATATTTTTTTTTACTGATCTAAAAACAAGGACACATAATGAGCAAATACAAGCTATATGACCAGGAGTTTACTTGTGAAAAACATTTAGTGACAGTGTGGCATACGATTTGGCTCCACAATATCCTCCATCTTAATTCTTTCGGTCCTAGGGGGTTTAGCATCAGAGACCCAAGGGGTAGTAAAGAGAGTTGTAAAACCATTGCAGTTTGGACTTCTGGGTAGGAAACTATGAACATCTGATGCATTCCTTGGTACTCAAAAAGTTGAAGAACCGAAATATCAAATATTTAGGTAGCATAACACAGGATTTAAAGAAAAGTAAAGCATTTATTGAATAGAAAAATACACATGTATATTCAGCCATGTTTAAAAGACCCAATATTTACACAGAGAAAACTGTTTTGGCTGACTGAGATTTTCAGTAAATAGACATACTCCCATTTGTCATTGTAATGTATTATTTATTTTCATTTGATATAGGCTGGTCTCAGAGCTTGTCATTACTGTGCTTGCATTTTGTTGGGAGTTACATTTCTTCTTGTGTATATATGGTGGAGTGCAGAAGGCAGTGGAGGATGTGATGGAAGCTATTTAGTAGAGTTTGTGGTGAGTTTTTTCTTTCAGATTGTTTTCTTAATTAATTGTGTTTTAATAATAATAGGATAAAATAATTATTGGAATCTAAAGCTTCACATTTTGACATCTTATTGACCTCATCACCCATCACTCAGGTGCCTTCTTCACAATAAAGGCTGGCTGAAATGGATCTCCAACCACTCTGTCTCTTGTCTTGATAGTGAACTCTCTCAGACTACTATTTTTTCACTTTTGATGTTGTCCTGCCACTTGAATCGTTGTCTATCTTTTATTCTCTTACCTTTGACTTTTTTCTCTGATTTGGTTTTAAAAGTGTGTTATGTCTTTTATGTGACCAAGATATTTCAGTTGTCTCTTTAGTTTTTTCAGTAACTTTCTTCATTCCATTTAGTATATCCACATCTCCGGAGACTCAATTTGATTTTCCAGAGGATAGAAGAAACTTATTACTTGTTCTAATGTTTGTCGGTTTACTGTTTTTCACTAATGGTTGCTTCAGTCCATTGTTAATTACCCATAGTTTTTGTTTATTGAGTATTAATGTCTAAACCATACTCAGCCTGTTGATGTGATCCACTAGGAGCTGTAACCCCTGGTCACTTTCTGCTAGTAACACTGTGTCATCTGTATATTTCGGAATGTTCATTATTCTTCCATTAAAATTCAATCTAGACAATTCTTCAACATGTTTAAAAAAGGTTTTCTGTATATAAGTTGAAAAGGCTTGAGGACAATGCACATTCTTGATGTACTCCTCTTTTAATCTCTATCTGTAGTGAGTTGATGTTTCTGTATCTCATTGTTGCTATTTGTTCCCAGTAAATGTTACTTAACACTCGTGGTTCTTTAGTAGTCAGCTCAGTGTTATTCTCCCTCTACCAGCTCTTTTCGCCCGTGTGTCACCGGGGCCCTCACGGGAAGCAAAGAATAGTGACACTGCACCCTACCAGGCATGTCGTAAGAGGCGACTAAGGTTAGGGTTGGGCTTGAGGTTGGCTACCTCATCCTGTAAAAACCATAGCCACAAAAACCAACCAACCATGGTTAGGCCTATGCTCCATTGGGGGATAGAAAGGCAGAAGAAGAAGAAGAACAGCTCTTTTTCAGCTTCTCTGTGTCTGCTTCATCTACTTCCAAATGCATGATCTTACAGAAGAAGTCAGCTGTATTTGCAATGTCAGTTTCACTGTCATGTCCTTCCAGTGCAGTTTCTCAAACACAGTATGCTAAGCATGTGTCACACTCACACCACTCAATGCAACGGATTCCAGATAAATGAGAAGTAACAATCATGCGCCCTTGCTCATTGCTTGATGGCTCATGTCTTGAATCGAGGTTCACATGTAGAGGTCAAAATAGGATATGAAAAAGTTTGTCTCGAAAAGTTTGTATGTAGAGCAGTTCATAAGTGAAGGTATCACTGTATCTTTAATTCGCTGTTTGTACAAAAATGTTCAGTAGTCATACACTTGTTTTTATTTTTCATTATATGTATGCAACTGACTAGTCCATGCAACCAGTTGAGTTTCTGTTTAAAAAAATGATGGACACCATTTTCTTTTTTTTTTTCAAAAGACCATTTTCATTGTACCTAGTTGTATCTGTGGCTTGGTTTGTCTTTGGAGAACAACTAGTGAACTGCCAAGAGCATTGCAATGCATGAACTGTGTAGCTCCAGTGATGATCTTCAGGTGTATTTGTAAAAATTGCACTCTTTACCAAGCGATGCAGTCTGTGAAATGAACCCACAAACTTCAGAATGTGAGGCAGATAAATGGCTTGACCACTTAACCACAGAAGGCCCTAGAGTTTTTCCTTAACCTGCTTGTATTGTCTGCATTTTTCCCGAATAACACTAGCAGTCCATGTTCCGACTGTTTTGTATGTTTGCTACAGTTTCTTATTGCCTGATGCCACCACTTTTTCATCAAATTGCCTTAGCTATTGACTATATACAGTTGTCTTTAATCATTTTCTTATTATTAGTTATGATTCCTGGTCATTACTGTTATTTTCCAGCTGTAGTAACATTTTGTTATGCACCCTGGACCACCCTGCATATGCTAGAATTAAAATGTAATCATTGAAGGAAAATACACCATATTTTTTAACTATAAAAACAAAAATAACATTGATTTGAAATATTCTCTAAGTTATTAGCAAACATTTAAATAGTTTTATAAGTGTCAATCACAGGGCTTTAAAAGTTATTATTGCGTAGAACTTTTAATGGAACTGTTACAACTTTCTTTCCCATGAAGTTTTCAACATAACTTGAGATTTGTTTCAAAAGGTTTTATATTTTGCTTTTCATCCTATTGCAGTGTAAGGAGTACAGTGAGAAGTACACATCTGGTAGTTTGTGCCACGACCTGTGTGTTAGCAAGGAACTCAGCTTGCATTCCTGTTACACTTATAAGAACAGCATTAAGGTACAAAGTGCATATTAACACATTAATTAGGAAAAACAAAACCAAAACAGTCCAAGTCAGTGGAACCCCTCGTCCCTATACAGCTGAATGGTTCAGGCCTGAAACAAATTAGGGAATTCAAATAATAGGAGATGTGATCACAGAAGATGGCAGATTGACAGAGAAATAGAAACCATATGTCAGAAAGAAAGTGCAATTATGTACCAATTGTCACCATTAGAAAGATGTCTATAAAATAACTGTAAATGCAAAACAACAGATTACAGACAGCCGATTCATACCAGCATTGATCTACCATCATGGGTTGGCTCCCTGGAGGAGCCAGACTATTTTCAAAAATGACCTTGGCTCTCAGGTTGACCCAGCCTTGAGTGGGTACAGGGGGAAGTCCCAGGAAGTAGAGGCGGCCGGCATGATGCTGACCACATCACCCATCTTGTGCCGATTGGTCTATAAAAATATAGGTCTAGCCCTAAAATTGATCTACCAGTGCCAAATATGGTCATTATCTACAGCCCATATACACAAAACCACCACTTGTGAGATGATATGGCTGAGAAAAGCTGCCAATCTAAGCAACCAAGGCCAAGTGAATAATGATACTATCATACAGATTGTGGGAACAACACCTTGTACTAGATTCATCAAAAATCACAGATCAAATGATTTGGCCATATCCTTAGAATGCAGCAGCATCAAATACCATCATCACAGGGCAAGACCGGCACAGCCAACTAAAAGGTCACCTTTCACCTTCACGGCATGACATTGGCCAGTTCCAGCCAACATACACTGGAGGACAAATTATTCCTCCCCAAAACGCTTAAAGGCAGAAGCGACTGTGATAATGATTAAGACAAATTTATTTGAATATTGTTCAATTAAAACATCTGTTGTAATATGTTGTGGTAGTTTTCGTATGCTTTTTGGTTCCTAAAGTATTAATTGCAACACAAATTGAGATAGAAAGCTTACTGGAGGGAATGGAAAAGATGCGCACGAGCACAACCAAACGTTTCATCCAAAGACTTTATTTAGAAGGTATTTAAGGGAGGAAAAAAAGGGGGGGGGGGGTGTGGTGGTGTGGGGATAATGGCTAAATAAATAACTAAATAAATAAAATTAAATATAACCGAGTGGCCTTCATGATTAGTGATTAGTAAGGACTATCATCAGAGCACTCCAGACAGATGTATAGGTGCTCCAGTCTCCTCCTCAGTATCTCCACAAGAGTAAAATGACTGATCACACCCGTTTTATGTTGATTAATCAGAGGACTTGTGACCTGAAGTTATACATTAATACTTTTCAGTATAATTACATATGTTTGAATACTATAGTAGTCAGTGAGGTTCAATAATTTGAATATAGTCTGCATGTAGTAATACTCGGTTGTTTTAACCAATATAATATCTGGATATGAATTCATTTGACCAGTTATGCAGTTACTTGATTGCTGTTTTACACACACACACACACGCACGCGCACACACACACACAAGAGGCACGTACGCACGCCTCCCCCCACTCCTGCACACGCGTACACGCACATGCACACACGCTCGCATAAATTTATTTATATATATTACAGACTTTTTTATATTGTTACAGACTTCAACATTTAGCCTTTGTTATTCAGTGTTAGGGTCTCTAAATGGTCTTGAGCTTTTGTATCATTCATTTTCTGCCATTAATTGTTCAGGTTATTATTGTGTACATTAAACTGTTTTGTTACTAAACAACTGATCACTAACTGTTTTGCATTTTTATGTCTAGAGCTATACATCTGGGGACATTGTATTCAAAGTTGCTAGTAATCTGAGCTGGAGGCAAGAGAGAATTGAAGAAGGTATACAGTCTTCAGAATTTCTCAAGCTTGTTGATGAATTGTTACAACATGAGTTAGGACACACAGATACTACGGGACTGATAAACCAGCTTGTTTTGGACTTTGATACAAACAGAGATGGCAAGGTAGGTGAAGTCAGTATTTGAAATAAAAATGGTGTATATGTATGTTGCAGTACGTTCTTAGAATGCCATGGACAAAAGAAAAAAAAAACATTGATATCTTTGTTAAACATCAAGATTATGGAAGATGCTATTTCCGGAAAATGAAGCAGAGGCAGACTTCCCGAAGGTGGATACAAGATAATGAAGACTCATTGGATGTAAAAGCACATAGGGCTGCAGAATTGGCTTGAGAAAGAGACACTTTCATGCAGGCCATGAAGAGAATGATGTCTGTAAAGGACCTACTGACTGATGATAAAGTTATGTATAATATATACAGTGGAGGAAATATTGAATTCTCCCACTGTCACTACTGTCTGAATTTACCACTTTTTAGGGTGGTGTAGATAGGGGGTCATGAGCCCAAGGATTTAGTGCCACATGGTTAGTGCCGGGAAGATTGACTGCATGCATAAATTTCAATCTATTCGTTCAGCTGAATAGAGATTCAGACTAAAAATAACATACTTGATCTATGCTGTCAAACAAATATGTGTATCTGACAAGTACTTACTTACATAGTCACTCCTCTTCTACCTTGGGGTGTAGAGGTTTTCCAGAGAGATCGTCAGACGTCTCTATCAGCAGTTTTGTGAAAAACTGAAAAGTATAATAAACATATTATCTCTGTTGTAGACAGAATATAAAAAAAGGAATAAGAGCCTTGTGACTATAAACCTAAAGTACTAATCCTCCAGTGTGTATAGTAACCAACTTATTGTAACTAACTTATATATATTATTTATATAACTAGGTTATTAAATTTGCAAATGTCTTTGCTAATAAACAAACGATGGTTCTAGAAAGGAATGTCCAGATTGCTAAGACCTGTTGACTTTGATCCTTTCAATTAATACGCAATATCCTACCTCCTGACAAACAAGTAAAGATGTCACCCTGTTACGTGTTGCTACAATTAATTAACTGTGTTAGTTGTTAAATATTAGTAAATAAACAGATGGTATGTTTAGACCAAATAGTAAAATGAAATAATAATTTTTCCGCTTACCACAATGGAACTCAAGAAAAACTCGATAAAGTATTTGCAAAAATGAATCACCAATGAACATGAACCACTTAGTAACGTATATATATATATAATATAAACACAATCTCTACATTAGATCTCGTTCCAGAGAAACTTTTAGAACATCATAACAGAGTACCATTATTAGGTTAAAAAAACTGACCCCCCCCCCCCCCCCCCCCCCCCCCCCCCCCCCCCCTCAATATCTTTACACAATAGAAGTTTATATAACACTCAGTTTGCCCATAATTTTGTAGTTTGCCCATAATTTTGTAGACTAAATAATAAGGGGAATAGCAGTAGAACTAACAATGAAGAAATGTACTTTTTCACTAATATTTATTCCTATTGACTAGCTATTTATTGTGATTCGTTTTGCAAGAGTATCAGTCCCTCCTAATAGTTTGACTCCATAAATGAATGAAACAAGTCTGCTTCACAACTTTCTTCATCAAACTTTAGGTAAGTCTGATAGACGCATGTTTTATTTAAATCTGAGGCTTCTAAAGCCATAAATCGTGTTGGCATACATGTCAGTGGCCATATTGTTTTCAAACAAGACACTTAGTAACTTGGTAAACCTCACAAATCTACTACAATTTAGGCTTAAATAAGCCTAATGGTCAGTATGTGTTTTATTGAACACAAACAACTGGAAAGGAAATTTCAATGTCCAGTTTGCACTTTTATATTGGTCAGTAGTAAATTAAAAACCTATAAGCATCACATGCCGATTGCACTGCTGGGTTGTTATCAAATAGCATGTAACTCGTTCTTTGGAACTAAAAGAGTTTTTAAAAAAATAGTAGTAATGTGAATGTTTTGTTTCTTACAAATGAATAGACTGATTGGTGGCATTATGCCTTATTTTACATTTTATTTTTGACATCAGTTTATTTGCATATGTGAATTGGTTTTTCCAACATAACTTTTAAATGTTGAACTTAATGTAATAATTTAAAAATTTATTATGCAGATAAATTTAGGAGAGGCTCAGAATATGTGGTGGGTGCTTCGACAGCCAGACTTTCTTAATTTCTACATCTTTCAGGTTTGTGTTAGAATTTGATTATTTCTGAAAGTCATTTAAACATTTGCCTTTTTTTCCCTCTAACCTCAAATGTGATTTAGGTTTTTGCATGACTCATTTCTTTTAATTAAAAAAAAAAAACTTTTGTTGCAGCATTAGGAAATTTAGTTCAAAAATTAACAGATGTTAGATGTTACATGTTAGTTGCACTTCAACTTCACGACACATTGCTTACTTTATTTTATTTTATTTCAAATTATTATTTCATTCTGTCTCTTATCCATTTATGGATCATTAACATTTGCATTTCTACTACTCCTTTATTCCTACTATTATATTAGATATATTATCACCTTTATTTTCTTTTGCGACTATTTTTCAAGTCTTCCTTTATTTTTTTTATTATTTTTTTTTTCAATTTTAATTCTTCCACATCACTTTTTAAAATGTTTTGTGTGTGTGACCCTTTAGTGTTTAGAGTACTCTCCCCCTTGTTATGGCCATTGGAGTTTTTGTTTTTTTCAAGAAAGGCCCAGCACCGAAACGTCCTTTTGTGTTGTTTGTGCAAATTATTCTGCTTCCTGATTTCATTAGGCTCTTGAGTCATTGTTCAGTGGATTATTTCCTTGATGTTAGCCTAACTGCAGTCACCCCTATTTCTGCCACTTTTTTGGCACAACATAGTTACCCATAAATATTCAGTTCTACTTCTAACTCAAGTTTGAGTTCGAAGTAGATCAGTGCAGTGCACGAACTCTGTGGCACCGGCAAGGATCCTGAATTACTTTGGGTAGATTTTCACTCCAAATATTGCCCTAGCAGCCCTGATCGATTTCCAACTGCCAAGGGATTTTTTACTTGTATAACAATACACACAGGCGTCTGATCTCACTACCCAGAGACCAGATGGAAATTACTAGAAAATCATGTGAAAAAATCCCAGCATTCACCAGTTCCTGAACCCAGGACCTCCAGTACTCGAGGCAGACACATGCCTCTAGACAACTAATGAGCTCTTTCAAAACCACCATGATTTTACACAACTATTTGTTCTAATCTGCTGCAGTCATGTTTTTCTGCTTTTTTCTAAACAAATAAATCTCTCATCCACATTGAATTGAAGTTTTTGTTTAAAATTGACACCCTGCCATAAATACAGTTAATTATAGTACAATTACTTCCTAAGTTGTTCTCAGGCTTGTCATAAGCATATCTTGGTGTTAAAATTATCACTCTTCAGTCAATGTTTGGTAGCAGAAAAGTCATTTATTATCAATACAAGGAATCAGTCCAGTGGTTGGAGATATACTGACAAGCATATGTAAAGAATAACATTAACTTTGCTTTTCTTGAAGATCAGAGAAATTGTAAATAAAATAATGTGATTTGAAAATGCAGTTGGCATTGTATCTTCTTCTTCTTTTTAAAGTCTGTGCCGTGTGGTGTTTGTAGTCATGTCTATTTCCAAATCTTCTGTCTTGTGTACTTTCAATCAACACTGACACAGGTGATCGTCCATGCCATGATGTCAAACTGTCCAGCATCTTTTCTCTTGGTCTTCCTCTGCCTCTCCTCCCATTCATCTTTCCTACTGTCACTATATTGTGCAGAAACAATGAACAAGCAACTATAAAATCAAATTAAGTCCCTGGAAATTTGGTTATACAGAAGAATGGGTAATATTTCATGGAAAAATAAAACAGTCAAATGCTAAGTCTGAAAGGACTACACAAGAAAAGAGAATTACTAAAAGAAACAAAAAAGAGACAATTGAAATACTTTGGCCACATTAATAGACATAACATGCTTTTAAAAACCATACTGGAGGGTAAGGTTGGAGGCAAGAGAGCGTGAGGTGGGTATCGATACAAGTGGAAGGACAATATCAAGAGATGCACGGGCAGCAGTCACAGAGTGTAAAACCAGGCAAGAACAGAGCACGTTGGTGATCCAGTACAGCCAACCTTTACTGTGGAGACGTCACTTGATCGATTGATTGATTGATTGATGTACTCCAGTTTTCTCCTTCTCGTCACATGACCAAAGAATGTCGGTTGTCTCTTTCTGATGTGAGAATTCAGGTCTCTTCATGAGTCAGTTTCTTTCAGGACATCTTTATTATCTTTATTACTTTTTTATCTGTCCAGGGTATTCTCACCATTCACCTATAAAACCACATCTCCGAAGCTTCCAAATAATTTTTCACTTATCCACTAACTGTCCATGATTCACTTCCATATATCAAGATAGGATTTATAAAGCTTTTAGGAATTCTCTTTCTCGTCTTAACTGACAAAGAAAGATTGCATAAATTATTCTTTTTTGTGTGTAAAATGCTGCCTCTGCTTGAGCTCTTCTACGTTTAACTTCTTTAATACATCATCCATCTGATTTAATCACTGTAAAGGTATATTTTATGTGAATCTTATTAAAGGTATATTTACAGTTCCGCATGTATACAACCAGCAACTGTTTGCTGTAAATATTTATGCACAACAAGCACAAAGACAATTTTGATTTAAATGAGGAACATTAAACAGACAAATTTATTATACAATCCAGTGGGACAAAAGTAAAGGACCCGTTTTAAGCCAGTGATACATTGAGCATATGGTTTGAGACTGAAATTTTTATAGACCAGTTGGCCCTTCGATAGGAGATTTGGTCATCGTCACTCTACATTTTCCAAGAAGTACCTGGTAGCCTGTCTAGGCTGGGTTGACCCGTAAGCCAAGGTCAGTTTTGAAAGAATCTGTCGCAACAGAGACTTAAAATATCGACCTTATGTCTCGCATGTGAATGTCTCGTGACTACACTACTGCGGCTTGCTATATGGAACAATAGCATATGATAAATGAGAATTGTCAAATGTTATGTATACCCTGCTATATGGTGCAAAAACTTGGACAGTAAGCAACTAGAACATCGAAATGTATGTATACAGAAGAATAGGTCATATTTCATAGAAACAAAAACAGTCCATTACAGAGGTTCTGGAAAGACTACAAATGAAAAGAGAATTACTGAAAGAAATATAAAAGAGACAATTGAAATACTTTGGCCACATTAAAAGACATAACACGCTTCTAAAAAACCCCACTGGAGGGAAGGTTAAAGTCAAGAGAGTGAGAGGTGGGCAACGATACAAGTAGGAGGACAACATCAAGAGATGGATGGGCAGCAATCAGAGAGAGTGTACAACCAGGACAGGAGACAGAGCATGTTAGAGATTCATTGCAGCCAATCTTCACTGTGGAGATGGCACCTGGTTGATTGATTGATTGATTGACCCTTCATCTCAAGTAGGCCGATTTTATAAGTTTTTGATGATATGATGTCTTTGGGCTGTGGTCAGCGTGCCCGTGTGACAACTTTGGTACTGGTTTCAATGGAATTGTGTGTAAGCATGGCGGGTATCATTATACCTCTCTCCCCCCCCCCCCCCCCCCCCCTGATGAAAAAAATTGATTTTTTGAGAGGGGTTCATTGTGACACCTTGATAAACTTATGATAGTGTCACTTTGCTCTCTTTAGCTGTGGCAGCATGGTTAAAGAGATGGAAAGCAGTTATTTCTGTGCTGCATGGTTAAAGGGATGGAAAGCAGTTATTTCTGTGCTGCATGGTTAAAGAGATGGAAAGCAGTTATTTCTGTGCTGCATGGTTAAAGAGATGGAAAGCAGTTATTTATGTGCTGCATGGTTAAAGAGATGGAAAGCAGTTATTTCTGTGCTGCATGGTTAAAGAGATGGAAAGCAGTTATTTATATGCTGCATGGTTAAAGAGATGGAAAGCAGTTATTTATATGCTGCATGGTTAAAGAGATGGAAAGCAGTTATTTATATGCTGCATGGTTAAAGAGATGGAAAGCAGTTATTTATATGCTGCATGGTTAAAGAGATGGAAAGCAGTTATTTCTGTGCTGCATGGTTAAAGAGATGGAAAGCAGTTATTTCTGTGCTGCATGGTTAAAGGGATGGAAAGCAGTTATTTCTGTGCTGCATGGTTAAAGGGATGGAAAGCAGTTATTTCTATGCTGCATTTGTATTGAGTGATTACTTCTCTTCATATGAAAAATCAATTTTTTTTAAGTGACTGAGGGGCCGCGGTAATAGCTAGCAGGTTTGTTTGTCTACTTGAGGATCATAGGCTTCAGTCCCCTGGATGTTTATAAAAACTGACAAGGACTCCAGATTTCTTCTTCTTCTCTTTCGCTAGAGATTCAGAGAATTCCAACGACTCAATCTTTTGAACAAAATTTTGTAAAAATCATTTTTTTTAAAGATTCATAGAGGTCAAAAGGGTTATCACATATCTGTTGGCATATGTTTTAGGGAAAACATGGATTTCTGCTTTTTATCTTTACAAATATTTTAGTCACTTATACATTATTATCCAGCATAGGGCACGGAAGGGAAAATAGTGCAGATGTTGCAAAGGGTACACAAGCTGTAAACTCATAAAAGTGGACAGCAACCTTCACATTATGTAAAACAAAGATAGTGATGTCATGATAGAAAAACATTAAAAACACTTTCTGCATATTTTACTATTATAGTTTCTATTACAGGATAGCACCTCAATACCTCGTCTAAATGGTACATGTGGAGGTATCAGCATATGGTATAATCTCCATTTGACCCAAGGCTCGACTTTATATAGAAAGACAACTCCATGGCCTATCAGTTTGTTTACAAATAATGCCTACAGATGGACTTTGCCTGGTTGGATTTACAGAGCCAGAGCTATGCTCAGTTTGGTGGAACTGGCCGAGGATTTGTATGACAAAGATGGTATCAGGTTAGTTATGCTGTAATCATGTCTATGTTTTTTTTTTGGTATTATCATCATCATCATCATAAACCACTTCTGCTGTTAAGCGTTGTGGGGAGGAATAATTTGCGATCCAGTGCACGTTGGCTGCCACTGGCTCTTGTCATGCCGTGAAGGTGTAGAGTGTCTTTAATGTTGTCAATCCATGTTTTCCATGGCCGTCCCCTTGCTCTTGTAATTGATCTTCTGAGATGTGCTTGTGATGGTATTTGATCTTGCTGCATTCTAACGAGATTATATGATGCATTTTTTGTATAATTAAAATATTTCTCACAATGTACTGTGAAGTAGAAGCACAGAGACATTTTGATTTTGGACAAGAACAGTCATTTCTGTATGTTGCTAGAATACTGAAAAAGTAATTAAATATTTGGAATGCAGTCTAATAATATATATTTTTTGTGTGTGGTTAGTTGCTTAGTCTGGTAAAGGCCATAGACTGGGATGTCAGATCGAGGTTTTTTAGGTTTCCTCAAAGCTCAATTATCTGGTCTACTAAGTGTGGCTACATTTTGCTTCGCAGCTTCTCTAGGAAAGGATATTCTTGCAAGACAAATTCTGGGGTTTCTTCAGTTAGAAGATGCTGACAGAGAGCTATTTGGCTAATAGCTAATTTACTTCAAGGTCCCTGTTGTGTGCTAAATGAGTCAGCACACTATCAAGTAGTCTAGCAGGTACTTTTCAGCTTCCTCTCTTAGAAATATAACTCGACGACGATGACACCGTCATACATGTTTATTTACTAGGATACATGACACAAATTCAGAGACGTAGTTAGTGATCACAGTTGACATTTACACATCGTTCATTTGTCCTCACTCGCTCTCTATCGCTCAATGTGTAGCGGTCTCTCCTTGACTACTACAGCTCCAAGAACTACAGCGTCCCACACCCTGGACGCGTCGTACATCTGAACAGGGAGACTTCTTCCATTCACTGGATCTTGATATAAATTCAGCATACACACAGCTGACTGGAGACGGACTTCCTCTTGCCGTACTCCGAAACCAGGTACTACTGGCCTTCCGTCCCCTGGACTTACTTTGCCAGCGGGACCATCGCTTCAGTACCGCCTTTGACACTTACTCGGACCTAAATGCCCGATAGTCGTACGATATTCTCGTATGTTTAAACTGGCGAGAGATATCACGGACCCTGACTTGGCCGCTGATTCTCGCTTTCTCTCTCTCTCTCTTCTCGCTTCTCTCTCGACTGCTTCTCGCTTGCCTTTCTAGTGGCTACTCAGCCCTCCAATTGATCCTCCTCAACTCCGTGTATGTGGATGATGTCCACACGAGAGGCACGCTGGTATGGGCGTTCTCGTGAATCATGATCCTGTGGGTGTTCTCGGGACTCACGCTCATGTGGGTGGCTGATGTTACCTGAAAATCACACTGTCACTTAATTCACACTTTCTCTGTTTATCTCGTTATCCATGCTTTCAGCCCTCCCCACACAGAAACCCACGCGTCCACTTTCTCTCGTGCACGCACGCCTTGTTCATGAATATACATTTTCACTGGTCTCCTCTCAATACTCGGACCATGTTGACACTCTTCCCCTGTGAACTTACAGACCGTACTGACCTCCCACTGTCCCTTCCCGCAACATCACACTTTACCCAAATCAGCGCGCAACAGTCCCATTTACTGGCCTTATTATCTTCTTCTTCGCGTTCACCAGCTGTACACTCTGGCGGAAAGTTCTGGTTGCTCGTCCACTACTGAACTGCAGTCCTGCTCCAGAACCTGAGTGTTGCGTGTACATCAGTTTTACAGATCTCATTCTCTTGAATACAGACTTGGCCTAATTATGAACTGTGTTCAGGTTTTCCTGATGGCAGGAACCAGGGACTCACCAAGACTGTTAAGTCATCAGCAGAGAGAGGATATGATACTTGACTAGCTTGTGGTAGGTTGCTGATGTAAATCAGGAAAAGCTGTGGTGGTAGTACACTGCCCTGTGGTACATCTGCTGTCAATGAGAACCAGGAACAATGCGCTTTATCCACTTTTTTACAGATGCCTGTAGATAAGGAAGTCTTTTACCGAATAATAAGTCGCGTCCCTTATTTATTTTCGTAAGAGCTTTAGCAACAGGCCATCCTTCCATACTTTGTCAAAGGCCTCGGAAAACAACAACAACAAAATCCGGGTTGTCTTCCTTTCTTTGAAGTTATTTTCTATCTCTCTGCATGATGCTGCATACATTACAACTTAATTAACTTTAGAAAGGAAAATATATTACTTGGTATTACAATTTTGTAAATTAGAGTTCCATTTTTGTTTGATAAAAATATGGAGAACTTTTATAAAGATTGGGAGAACCAATAATTCATGTCCTTTTTAGGATGACATTTTTCGTTATTTGAAGCCCTACTCTGGCTCTTGTCAGGGGCTGCAATATAGCCTGGCCATAAATATGGCCTGAAGACTCAACGTGGTTTCTGCGACCTCTCCATGGTGATCCTCATCCACATGGTGGCACTTTGTGTCATCCGGTGTTTATCGCTTATGTGATGTCCTGGTGGGGTAGAAAGCCAGTCAGTCAGTCAGTCAGTCAGTCAGTCAGATGAGGAGAATCAGCCCATTCCCCACCCCTTCCCCTTCTTTGCCCCCAATTAAAAACATGAATTCTTGCAGGATTGAATGCAAACACAGACCGTGATGTGATTTAGTTGATGGCTTGTGCTCCACTAGAAAATATAAGAAGAGATAACAATCACTAAGTAAAGGTTTTGTACAGCAGGATCTTCATAACCTGGTGCAGAAAGACATAGAAAGCACACTCACAGAAAGATGAGAAGATATGAAACCAGGTTCCTCTATATTTTTTTTTCTGTCTTTATTAAAATAATTTCCCTTTAGTTCTGAGTCAATGATAGTTTTTTGTTTTTTTTTCATTGACAGGTATCATCTATGCAATGTTGATGGATTATCACTTCACCACCATGACAGCTATGAAGTTATTCTGACAGAGGAGACAATGCTTTTATCTAGTCAACAAATACGCAATAAGCTGGCAAACATTACATGTCATTATGCACATGACTGCATTCTTACCCCACAGTGCCAAACTATGTGTGATTTTAGTAGCAGGACAGTGTTCTGGTCAAGTTACCAGACCAACCCTTGCTGTTGTTTGTGATATCCTGGAGGAGTATTTGCTGTTTGATGCACCTAAAATAGTGAAGACAAGTTTGTCTCGTTTGATCCATCGTTGTCAGAGTTTGTCTGTTTATACTCAGATGCTTGACCTTGTTCATTCCATTCTTGTTCTGGATCTAAAAAATTTATTATGGAATTACATACAAAACAAACTGAAATAATAGCATCATAATTTTTTAACAGACTACAAGATTATCCGAAAAAGCATTTTTATTGAAAACTAGCTTTTCTTTATTTAACTCATTGAGTCCCAAAGAACGCATCAGACGTTCATAGGTTCCTGCCTAGAGGCCTAATGAACGCAAGATGCGCTGATTTTACATCTCTCTTGACTACCCCTTGGGCCTCTGATGCTAAACCCCACTCAAAGAGTTAAACACCACTTGATGAGATATTTTTGTAAACAACATGATACAGGAACTTGACAGGTGACAGTAGCATCTTAAGAATATGTTCATTTTACTTGTGAAAAAGTAGTCTTCGGGACATGGTGTGATCATCTCATGAGAAATTGTAACTAGCCAGCCTCTCCATTTACTTCAGAATTCCTTGTTATTTTTAATTTTCTAGACTCATCATACATCCTGACAACATTGTCTTAATGCAATAGATTTTCTTCTGTGCTTTTCCCAGTTAAACAGAACATATGACCACATGATGCATATTACTTGATAAGTGTGAAATTGATATTTAATTCAAAGTAGATAGAGGGGGCTGCTGCATGGTCTCGAGGCATGGTGTCCGCCTCGAGTGCTAGAAGTCCCGGGTTTGGGCCCCAGTGAAGGCTGGGATTTTTTCACATGGATTTCTAGTAATGTTTCTCTGCTCTCTTGGTAGTAAGACTGGATGCCCGTGTGTATTGTTACGCACATTTAAAAAAACCCTTGGCAGTTAAAAATCAAAAAGAGTAGCTTAACAGCGCTGCCCGGGCAAAATTTGGAGTTAAAAATCTACTCAAAGTATTTCAGGATCCTCGCCGGTGCTACAAAGTTTGTGCACTGCGCTGGGATACTTCGTACTCAGGCTTGAGTTAAAAGAGAAACGAAGCACTTATGGGTTACACACGTGGGCCATGATGTTGATCCGTTGAATAAACATAAACAATCAAAGCAGATAAGGCATTGATTGCAATGTGTTTTGATTGTTTATAAATAACTCATCTCAGAATGACATTATAATTTAATTTATTTTAACTTGTTTTGCATGAAGTATTTCATAAATCAAACTAAAATCTGAATGTTTTGCTCCAAGTTGAGAAACTTTCATGTTGGTACTGAAAAGCTGCCCTAGTTCATGTACACATTATCAAGCATAACATCATCAGTGTGTTAAGTAAAATGATATTTAATGGTGCTAACTTTGGCATTTAAAATATTTTGGTAAGTGTATCTTCAGAATCAGAGTTTTAGCATTTCAAATTTATGATATAATGGTAAGTGTATCTTTATCAGTGCCTGTGGCTTAGGGGTTGTGAACACATTTCACAATACCAAGGTGCCTGGTTGATCCTAGCTGCTGGCAGTTTGGCAGCAGACTGCCTTTTTTTTTTTTGAGAGTGGTATGAAGGACTGAACAATCAGAAAGCCGTAGTAAACAAAAACCTAATGTGAAATTGCTTGTGAAATCACAAACAGCCAAAGAAAATTCTGGGGTTGGCTCTAAAACGTTCTGTAAAAGATACACAAATAACTTTTTTTTTTAAAAATCTTAGAGTATTCTAGATATTTTTTTTAATATTGTTTGAATTTTGACAGAACAAGTTTGTTATACACTCTGATGACATGATAAGTGATACTGTCTGTTGCCGAAGACCACACAATAGGAATCTCAATGCAGTGCATGGACTCTCTGACACTAGTGAGGATCCAGTGAATGTTTGTACCAGATTCACAGATTCTGTACATTCATTTTATCAAATGATTTTCTGATTTAGCATGAGCAGCAAAAGGGATTAAAAGTATTCATGACATGCAACCTAATTTTTACTATATGTCAGTAGACTGACCGACATTTTTACGCTGAGAACAGTTAATTTTTCAGAATTATGACTTTATGGTGAATTAATGCATTTTAGACCACATGTCCACAATGAATCCACACATATAAAAGCTCAGGTTCTGTATAGCACTTTAACACTTTTCATCTCACTGCAGTTGACATCTTCTTAGTGGTAGCTTTTGCATTTTGCTAAAAACCACTTTTGTCATGGCTATTCTTATTCTAATTTCTGCAAGAAATCTTGTGTCTGATGTTATGACTGTTCCAAGACAGTTGTATAGATTCACTTTCTGAAGAATTTCGCCATTTGCATTTATTTCATACAGTGGTATTTTCTTCTTTTTGATTATAACTATAATTCATGTTTTCTTACAGTATAATCCAAGCCTTGTTGCTTGCTGTGAATTATTATTTCATTTACTAAACACTGCAGATCCTGTTTCTTGGTTGCAGTATACACTGTATTGTCTGCATATCTTATATTGTTGATTCTGTTTGCTCCCATATTGATTTCTTTCATGTCATTAAGATGTCTAGTATTTTCACTCCATAAAGAAAAAATAATCTGGAGACATGTTTGTCACACATCTCTGACACACACCTCTGTCACACATCTCTGTCACACACCTCTGTCACACATCTCTCTTGTCTAGTTGTTACAGATCTACTTTATTTTTGATTTTTATTGTGGCATGTTGTTTCTGGTATACGTTCTTAATCAGTCTAAAGTCTTTCCTATTAGTTTGTAGATTTGTAAGCATTTTTATCTTATCACCGTGTCTTACTGTATAGGAAGCTTGTATGTAATCAATGAAGCTGTTTCTTTAATTTAATGTATTGAAAATTAGATGCTAAGATAGTCAAATCATAGTCTCGGGAATTTAGGAACTCAAAGGCAAACATAATTCACAACCATAAATAATTAGTGAAAAAGTTCAATAGCTTATTTGCAGTTGGCACCTTTCCATCTGTCTAGATGAAAGGGTTACATTGTGCGGTCCAAAGCATAGTGATAGCAAATGAGACCACCAAGATCAGCTTACTTTCCTGATTGTCGTCAACCATCTCAGTATCTGTAACATTCATGTCCTGCTTGCATGTATCTTAGTATCAGAAGAGTCCCATGGCCAAGGAGTCATGACCTGGGTCGGCCCACCCCTAAATATGTTAGGGAATAAGGGGCCACAAAAGGTTGATAGGGAACCTCTACTGATGATAGTTAAACTCTGGTTGAGTTTGCTGCCACTGTGGAGTACTTTCTTCTCTTCTTGCCCCCATGGCTATTTATATTATAGCAGAAATAAATAATGTAGTTTATCTAAATCTGGGAGAAAGTAAGAGAAAAACCTTTGAGAAAAATATATTTCATTTAATATACTATAGAAAGACACAGGCTATAGTAGCCACAAATTACATACATGAAAAAAGACATTAATAACCATTAAAAAAAAAGGTTGCACAACAATTGATCCTAAAATCTATAATGAAGAAAGTTCATTAAGACAAAGAATATACAGTCATCACCACGAGTCCTGCATAACAAGCATGAATAATTTTGAAGGATTTTTGGCAGGCAAATTGTGTAAGCCTCTGAAGTTTAGCTTGTCACCTAAGTGTCCCTGGAGAAGGTTGAACTTGATATTTTTAAAACATGCATACATTTTTGGGGGAACTTATGAATATTTTTCAGTCAACATCCTTAGACGCATTATGGTTTTCCTAGTGCCACTAGTTTTCTGATTCACAAGTTCTTCTTGAGAAACTTGGTTATTTATTTTATTTTGAATTCTTTCTTGTTTGATCTTGAAAAGTATCTTAGTTTTCTCTTAATCTTATAAATCTTTTATAATTGTCATTGTTATTTTGCCAGGGTCTGTGCTGTTTTCCCTGCTTCATATTGTAAATAACCTTCTCCACTTCAGTCTTTGAACTGATTGAGCCATCCTCAAGGCTGCAGTTTTGTTTTCATACCTCTATTATCCCAACAAAGGCCCTTTGTTTATTCAGTCCACTTTTTAATGATTAACTAGTCAACAAATTTTCAGAAAAAGTATTTATATCAGAATATAAATACACCATGTTTGTTTGTTTTTAAATGATGAATTTACATTATAGTAATTAAAATAATGTTTGCTTGTTTCATTCTATGGGGGTAACAATTCGAGTTTCTAGTTGCTTTTTTATTATCCAGGTTTTTGCAACACACAGCAGGATTGATGATTCTAATTTGTTTTGCGTTCATTATCTCTCTATCTGTCAGTAATTTTCACAGTTTGTTGAAGATTATTTTCTTCTGCCATCCTCTATTATTAGGAGTTGCCATGGCGGAGTGGCTAGATGCTTGCCGCGGATTGGAAGGTCGAGGGTTCGCTCCCTGGCGGAGCCGGACTTTTTTTTTAAAATGACCTGGGCTCCTAGGTTGACCCAGCCTTGAGTGGGTACCGGGTGCAGTCCTGGGAAGTAAAGGTGGCCAGCTAATGCTGACCACATCATCCATCTTGTGCCGAATGGTCTATAAAATATAGGTCTAGCCCTATAGTGCCCAATACGCCTTAAGGCATGGAAAAGGGTCCTTTACTTTTACTTACATATCATCTATTATTACCTTTCTAAGATAGACGCAATTTTTTACTTGTTCTAAAATCTAACTATTTTTTGTGATGCTTACTGTTGGTTGCTCCAGTTCATTATTAATTATCAGTTTTTGTTTTTCGATTGGTAATGTCTAAACCAGTGTTTCTCAAAATGTCTTGGCTCACCACCCTCTTTTCAGTGACAAATCGCTGAATGCTTTCCTCTATCTGAAAATGTCATCATCATGTGCCATGCCGACAAGCATTGGCAGTTGTCATTGGACATCCTACACCATCAGCAGAATTTATGATCGGGTGATGCTTTTGTATTGCCCCATGCATGTCAGCAAACCATCAAGGTGTTTATTTGGCGACATTGAATGTGTCTCTGTGTTGCATTTATGGTGTATAATATAGATTCATCCACTTAGTTATTGATGGCTTCTTTACTAAAGCCGTATGTGAACATTCCGGTCCAGATATTAAAGGAGGATACTGATTTTTTTAGTAAATAAAGTGAAAAAGCTCATTGCTCTGAGTCAGTTTTTTAGTTAACTCCTGGAACATCCAGAACTGTAGTGGATAAGAAT